GAAAAGACCCTGATGCTAGGAAAGATTGAAGGCATGAGGAGAAGGGGACGACAGAGGATGAGATGGCTGGATGGCATCACCGACTCGATGGACAGGAGTTTGAGTAAACTCTGGGAGTTGTCGATGGAGAGGGAGGACTGGTGTGCTGCAGTCCATGGGGTAACAAAGAGTTGGACAAGACTGAGTGACTTATCTGAACTGAACTGAATCCATTCTACCAAATGATGAGCTTATCAGCAGTATCCACCCTGACCTTGTGATTAAGCAAGAAATCCACAGCAGATAAACCATTTGTCCCCACTGCAAAATGCAAGACTATGTGGTTCATCTGAGGGAACATAATTTGTGTCTTCAGTCATCTGATTGCTATTTTGTGTTCTTAAGATTCCTGATCCTTGAATGGCCATAATTTTTTTTTTTTACCAGGTGTTTGTGTTTTGGTTATCTACTCTTTGCCTTGTCTTTAAAAGCAGTGAGAACTGTATCCAGCATAATCTCACATTTCTCTACTATTAGATAACATCAGAGAATTTAGCAACCAACTGGAGTGTATACATCAAGCTGAAATCCACTGCATAACCTATGACTTATTATAACAATATAATAGATTTCAACTAGAGTGTAAAAAAAGCTGTATTTTTCCTGTATGCAACCATTAATTATGGTAGGATATATTGATAATTCATAACAAAAAATTTTCCTAGTTCAGTCCATATGTGACTCTTTCCCCTGTAGTTTTCTGGACTTTAAATTGTATTGAATCAAACAAATGAAGAAAGAGACAAAAAGAAAGAAGGGAGGGAGAGAAGGAAGGAAAGAAGGAAAGACACACACAGATAAAAAAGCATGACTGTCTTTTGCTTCAAAGAAAAGCCGGCTTGGGGCTCCCAGGCTGTCTGGGGACACTCTGAGGTGCTTCAGACAAAGGATGCTTTGCTTGTAAGTAAAACGCATGTCATATTTCCCACATTCTGGACATTGATTTTGCTTCCAAAGAATTTACTATCCCTTGCTTCTCATTAATAAATTATTGCAAAAATATGAGAACTGCTTAAACACCTGATTTCCTTAGTAGCTAAATCAGTGATAAACTAAGTTTGACAAAACATGAGTTACCCTTGCTATTGTTTGCAGTCTAGAGCTATATTCTAGTATGCCCAATTTGGGCTTGTAAACTCCCCTTTATTTGTGAATAAGGATGCAAACCAAAATAGCATCCAAGATAAGTCAATAAAACCACTTCCATTTTTTTTTCATCTTTGTCATCACCGATTTTAAAGAACTCTACAAGCAACCATGTCAGCAATTTGCTGTAAACAGGACTAAAAAAGATGTCATTAGAAACTATAATATAATTCATCAGGAGTTTATAATAACTTGCTACATTGGCTGTTAGTTTTAGTGTATTAAGTACTTTTATATAAAAGTGTGGTTTAAAATATTAGAAAGTTATATGGAAAAATTTTCAAATGGTTATTGAAAGGTACATTGGAGGATCTATTTCCTGCTGTTTAGAAAAATGATTATTGCTTTACTTATTCAACATTTAATCTACGTATTACCTCCAAAGATCCTTGCTTATTTCTTCCGCTCCCTTCCTTTCTTGTTTCCTTTCCTCTTTTTTGTTCCTAAAATTGTTCTTCTGCAAAAATTTGCCATTTTTCTACTCTTTCTAGGATGTCTAAGTATAATGAATAGAATATCCACACATAACATATCAGACATGCACACAATATACACATACAGACAAATCCCCTCACATACACACAGGCACAACTGCTAAACATCCTTCCACTGCACACCTCAGTTTCTATGACTCACTGCCTGGAACAGATCCAGGTTTTGTAGAAGGTGAAGTTTACACTTTTCAGGAGCCCTCTTTAAAGCCAGAGTCAGAAAGCTTAACTGATGGCAGTTTAAATTTCTTCCTTTTTCAGATTTTACAAAATCATATAACAATGGAACACACTGCTAGAGCCCTCCACGTTCCTTGGAAGGAGTCTGTATAAGCAGGTCTCTTAAAGTTTCCACTTCATTTAGCATCAAAGCCACCTCTGCCATCCCCACCTTGAAGCACTCCACATCGTCCTAAACAGACACAGCCCCAGTCTGTTCACTGATGAACCGTGCCTGTGGGGCTGTCAGGAAATCTCCACAAGGCCAAGCAGTAGGCAGTCCATTTTTCTGGCAGTGGGACTTCCCCCTTAAACCCAGGCACTGAAGAACAAGTGAGCCCCGGGTCTCAGGAGAGGCCCCTCTGGCCAACAGGCAGAGGTACTATATTCCGCAAGCAGTAAAAAGCAAAGCTGTGCTTGCCTTTGCATTTTAAATTTGGAAGGCTCCAACCACAAAGCGCATCACTGATGATAAAACAGTGATGAACTGTGTAGCAAAAGATATTCTGCCTTTCCAGAATGTGTGAGGCCAAAGTGATCCACAGGCTATGATCCAGGACCAAGTCCAGGCCCATAACCTTGACACCTGGTTACACTGCCCACCCATAGGCTTAGCACAGCTGCACATAAAGACCCTGGGCACGTCCCCTCAGATTAGAGCAATTAAAACACCCAGAGCCTCCTCTACAGCTTGATTCCACTATTAGCTTAAACGTTCTGGAATTGCCAACAAAAGAGCTCCCCCTCATCTCATTTAGCAGAATCAATTTTATTTTTATTTCAGTTGTACTGTGTAAACCCACACTGCTGTCACTTGTCACATCTGTGATTTCCACTCACATTGTTCACAGCATTAATATTAACCTTCTTTTCAAACAGCTTCTCCGTAAGATACAAATTATTGCTTTTAGCAGCATTCTGGAAGCTCCTCTCATTTGGCAGCTCTGAAAGCAAGCAAGCAAACATGACTGTGGGAATCTTAGAGGGTTGAAGAGAAAGCAAACGTCACGTGGCAAACCTTGGGACTAAAAACCAGAAACAACTGCCTTGAGCCTTTCACAGTCTGCTATTTTGGATGTGGGAACTTTGCTTCAATATTTTATAAAGCTGTATTATCAAGATTCCACGTTCACCTCACACTGCAAGTGTTTTCTCAGCCTTAAACATCTTCCTATCCCAAACAAAACATTATTCTCAAGGACCACCCTGAAGTCAGCAGTGCAGTATATAGCTCTAGGATGCTGGAGGGTGGCCACTGACTTCTCAAGGGGCGTTGTTTATAAAATGTTTCTACAAGATTAGGTAGGGAGGAGCCCAAATACTCTGTACAAGCTTACAGAGATAAAATTGTTGTCTGCAGAACCCTGTGGGATGCCAGGCCTGCAGAAACAAAACCACGAAAGGCAGCACATCATATCATCATGAATGAAGGTTAAAAGGGATGAACATGTTTTATTTTCATTTACATGAAAGGAGATAAAAGAAGATTTTCACTTTTACTAGAAACATTAATATTACTATACACTACAAAAAAAAAAGTTCCCTGGTGGCTCAGACGGTAAAGCGTCTGTCTACAATGCGGGAGACCTGGGTTCAATCCCTGNGCGACTTCACTTTCACAAATATTACAGGTCATATACATAATACATATTTAGATGGCAGGTTTTATTAAATAGCTTAGAGAAGCTTCCAGGATTTACTGAGTTGTTTGTTTGTTTGTTTCTTTGTTGTGGGCTGAAAAGGGATTTCCCTGGCAGTCCAGTGGTTAAGACTTCCTGTTCCCAGGGGCCCCTCCCTGGTCAGGGAACTAGATCCCACATGCTACAGTAAAGATCGAAGATCCTGCTTGCTACAACTAAGAGCTGGTGAAGCCAAAGAAATAAGTTTTTTTTTTTAATTATAAAACTTTTAGAAGAAAACACAGGGGAAAAGCTTCCTAAACTGGGGTTATGCAAAGAGTTCTGTTTTGCACATGACTCCACCTGCATGACTGTAAACAAAAACAATAGTAAATTGGACCTTAGAAAAATTTCAAGCTTTGCTCTGTGAAAAATACTGTTAAGAGAATAAAAAAGACAACCTATAGATTGGGGGAACATATTTGCAAATCACACATCTGACAAATGACTCAACAGTAAGAAAACAAAATCCAATTTAAAAATAGGGGAAAGACTTCAATGGAACAAAGAGGAACCAAAGAGGATATATAGATGGCAATAAGCACATGAGAAGATATTCAGCATCATTACCTATGAGGGCAATACAACTTAAAACCACAAGGAGATACCAATACGAAGCTGTTAGAATGGCTAAAATTTTATTTTTTTATTTTTTCATAGCAATATTTTCTCTTTTTTTTTCATTTATTTTTATTAGTTGGAGGCTAATTACTTCACGATATTGTAGTGGTTTTTGCCATACATTGACATGAATCAGCCATGGATTTACATGTGTTCCCCATCCTGANCAATAAACATTACAGAGAATTTTTAGATGCAATGATTTCTTTAAATTTTTTTTAAGTTTCCCAAGCCAACTCTAGCTTCTGTTTTAGGAGCCAAGGCTGTCAGCCTCATAGAAGGTTTGGTCATAAACATCCTTGGTCAGGTGACTGTCACTGTTGTCCAGTTTGGGAGATAATGCTACAAGGTGTATGATTGTTAACAAATTCCATTCCCAAACTGGTCAGTCTCTTAGCTGACCTGAGAATGTTTTGGCTTAGACTTTTACTGTCAAGGACCCCATAATTTGTAAGTGTTGAAGGCAGACCTGCTCAATTTATACACTTCTTTGTCCACAGATTTTATTTCTTCAGTTCAGTTCAGTCACTCAGTTGTGTCTGACTCTGTACCTCCAAGGACCACAGCACACCAGGTGCCAACTTCTTCACTCCCCTCTTTCACTGTCATCAAGAGGCTCTTTAGTTCTTCTTCACTTTCTGCTATAAGGATAGTGTCATCTGTGTATCTGAGGTTACTGATATTTCTCCTGGCAATCTTGATTCCAGCTTGTGCTTCATCCAACCCAGCATTTCATGTGATATACTCTGCATAGAAGTTAAATAAGCAGGGTGACAATATACAGCCTTGACGTACTCCTTTCCCTATTTGGAACCAGTCTGTTTCATGTCCAGTTCTAACTGTTGCTTCCTGACCTGCATATAGGTTTCTCAAGAGGCAGGTCAAGTGGTCTGGTATTCCCATCTCTTTAAGAATTTTCTAGAGTTTGTTGCAGTCCACACAATCAAAGGCTTTGGCGTAGTCAATAAAGCAGAAATAGATGTTTTTCTGGAATTCTCTTGCTTTTTCGATGATCCAATGGATATTGGCAATTTGATCTCTGGTTCCTCTGCCTTTTCTAAATCCAGCTTGAACATCTGGAAGTTCACAGTTAACATACTGTTGAAGCCTGGCTTAGAGAATTTTGACCACTACTTTCCTAGCGTGTGAGATGAGTGCAACTGTGTGGTAGTCTGAACATTCTTTGGAATTGCCTTTCTTTGGGATTGGAATGAAAACTGACCTTTTCCTGTCTTGTGGCCACTGCTGAGTTTTCCAAATTTGCTGGCATACTGGGTGCAGCAGTTTCACAGCATCATCTTTTAGGATTTGAATTAGCTCAGCTGGAATTCCATGACCTCCACTAGCTTTGTTCTTAGTGATGCTTCCTAAGGCCCACTTGACTTTGTATTCCAGGATGTCTGACTCTAGGTTGGTGATCACACCATCATGATTATCTGTATCATGAAGATCTCTTTTGTATAGTTCTTCTGTGTATTCTTGCCACCTCTTCTTAGTATCTTTTGCATCCATACCATTTCTGTCGTTTATTGTACCCATCTTTGCATGAAATGTTCCTTTGGTATCTCTAATGTTCTTAAAGAGATCTCTAGACTTTCCCATTCTATTATTTTCCTCTATTTCTTTGTATTGATTGCTGAGGAAGGTCCCATGGTTGATTCCTTCCTATCATTCAGAAATTTGGCTCAAATGTCCTGTCTGCCCTGATCACCACATCTCCTGTTCCCCCGTCACAATCACATCACTCTATTCCATAGTCTCCATAGCATTTACCACTACCTTAAAATATCTCATTCATTTATTTGCTTATTTATTTCATCATCTATCAACCCCCCACAACCAGAAATTGAGCTTGGGCCAGAATACGCTCTGTCTGCATCTCTACATCTAGAATGTGTATTTACATAGTAATTTCTTGAAAATATTTCTAGAAAGAACGGCTGGCTAGCTGGATGGATGGATGGATGAATGAACTAACTCAACACTATCTTAAGAAACTGATGCTCTGTACCCAAGGATGGTCTTTGGGAAATGAGGCCATCCCAGCGAGCTGACATGGATGGTGTGCCTGTTAAGAGACTTGATGTCATGCTTAACTTTGAAGACTCTTAAACAGCATCCCTCAATTTATGCTGGAAATTTATTCCCAAGGCACAGAGGAACCCCTCCATGCTTTTAAAACTGAAGTACAGAAAAATTACGTGCCTTATTTGAGGTCACACAATAAATTAGTGAGGGCTCAGGCTGTAGGAGATAACAGCACATAAAACTCTTTCCTTATTTGTAAAAGGGCTGAATCATTTCTTGGAAAATCCTCTTCCTTAATTTGAAAGAGGAACACTTTCCTTCTGCCTACAATGCAGGGTTAACCTGAAATAAAACGTTCTGAGAAACGTGAGCCAACCCTTGGGAGGGTGTGGATCCCAAAGCTGAAACCCAGCCCACCGAGGGCGGATGGGTGAGGATGGGCTCCGGTCCCTGGGGCACCCGCAGCTGCTCAGCCAGTTCCCCCGGCCCGCCCCGCGCCGCCCCGGAGGGAGTTTCCAGGCCTGTACCCGGACTTACGGAACTCGTGTCCGGCCGCCGCCGCCGCCTCCTGCGGCCGTTCATGCTGGGGGCCCCGGGACAGGCCCATCTCGGGCCGGCCGCCGCGCCTCTCAAGTCCTCCCACAGCCCCCTCGCCGCCGCCCTGCGCCCTGGGGCGGGCAAACCGGGCTCCAGGTCCCCGAGGCCCGTCCCGCGCGGGCGCCGCGCACCGCAGAGGCCGTTCTCCGCCGCGGGCGCCTCGCCCGGGGCTGCAGTCCTGCCCGGGCCGGGCCGCCTTCAGGTGTGGCGCGCACTGCGCTGGAAGCACCTGCGGTGAGAAATTAAGAGGAAAGTCCCGGCCATGTTTAGGTGGTTCTGAGTACAATTTGGAGAAGACTCTTGAGAGTCCCTTGGACTGCGAGGAGATCAACCAGTCCACCCTAAAGGAAATCAGTCCTGAATATTCATTGGAAGCACTGATGCTGAAGATGAAACTCCAATACTTTGGCCACCTGATGCGAAGAACTAACTCATTGGAAAAAACCCTGATGTTGGGAAAGACTGAAGGTGGGAGGAGGACAGACGATGAGATGGTTGGATGGCATAACCGAGTCAATGGACTTGAGTTTGAGCAAGCTCCGGGAGTTGGTGATGGACAGGGAAGCCTGGCGTGCTGCAGTCCACGGGGTCGCAAAGAGTCGGACAAGACTGAGCGATTGAACTGAACTGAATAGAATACAATTCGGACTTGTCGAGGTTAGCTTTATGAAACCAACACCATTGGATCTTCACTACTGAATCAGTTCTAAATGGGCTTCCAGAATTTTCTTTTGAATAAAGTACGACTCAGTTCCCTCTTTGAAAATGGAAAACCTTGGTATCCCATTTTAACGCAATGGTAACCTACTGGCCTCCCCATCTTGGGTATTCTTTCTTTCTTGAAAGTGAATGTGTTAGGGGCTCAGTC